AGGCGAGATACTCTCGGTAGCTTGCCGGGCTCTCTGAGAGGGGCAGAAGAATCGAACTCGGGTGGGCCATTTTGGCTGCGTGCAAGGCAAACGCCCTACCTGCTGTGCTATTGCTCCAGTCCCGTGTGATTTACATTTCTCTTTATTATAATTAGTAGTTCAATAATGTAATCCCAAAGAGAGTGTATCAGAAACATTAGTACTACTTCAGTAGTCAAGAATTCATAGGAAAAACTTATCAATGTAATATGTAAGTTAAATAAACTTCAGTTTTCTACTGTTTACTAACCTGTAGCTTATAGGATTATTTACTTTATTTTACTTTTCAATCTCCTTTTTGACTAATAGTTCTCCATTTCCTAGGTCAGCAAATAGTAATTCATTTTGAAACTCAAAATTTTTACTGTTTTATTATTGTTATAGTCATCTATTTTATTCTGAAATATTTTAGCATGGATTATTTATAAGAACATAACCAATATAGCAGCTGATTCAAGAAATTAGAGTTTATTTCTCTAATATAAAATGATACTGCTAGAGTGGATAAAAACAGCTTTAAGCTTAAATTGTGGTTGTCATAGAATGTAGTGACTCTAGTTTCTAAATTCTGATAAACTTTATTTTCTAAGCTCTATTTCATTTTGTTGCATCTCCTTTATTGTCTAGTATTGCCCTTTTTTTGCATGACATCAAAGTATCAGTATTTATTATTTATGTCATGAAAGGGTTATCTACCAAATTATGTAATGTTTGATATAAATTATATCACGGTCTCGGTCAATCACGGTCCTCCCGTTGTTCATCGATTTGCTCGAGCAGGCCTGGTAACGTCTCCATTGTGACAATTGTTACTGTGTTTGGCATATCGCATATGTCACGGGTAGCTTGCAGGCTCTTCTGTGTGGGTGAGATACTCTCGGCAGCTTGCAGGGCTCTCCGAGCGGGGTGGAGGAATCGAACTCGGGATAAATTGTATAAAATATAAAAATATTTTTATGGTAGCAGAAATGGACTTTTTAAATTTGGGAGACAGGAGAAAGTAATTTTTGGATACTAATGACACTGAAATGAATAGTTGAATTGGGTTGTTATCTTCAGAATATTGAAATTTAAGGTAATTTTCTTCCCCCAAATCTGTCATTCTGTTAAAGAAACAGTAATCTGTTTTTCTCATTGAAGTTCAACTCTTTTACTGTAGTAACAATATATAAAACTATGGTAGAGTAGGTTTTTATACCTATTTAATAATTAAAAATAAATGATTTCATGTTTTCATACTGAACTTCCATTAGTAAAGTATAGATTTAAGTACCTTTCAGTTAGTATTCTTGCTTTCATATATTTGTGTTCTCCTTGTGCATTTTTTATGTGACTACTTGGTAATAGGAGGTGGGACCTGGTATCAGGACATTGATACCTTATACACATGGAGAAAGAATCAATGTTCTTAGCCTTTTAAGTCCAATTTGACAAATATTTAGATCATATGCTGTAAATAGAATTGTACCGGATACTGTGGAAGTTTGTTCTAACGCATTGTAATCAGTGAGGCTAGCTACAGTTAAACAGCAGAACAGATTCCAGGAAGTTCTGCTTTTGTGAATCTCAGCATCAGTTGATTAAAAAAAAATCGATACAGACCTTATTTTGGTTTAGCATGTTTTCAAGATTCTAATGATCCCCTTTTAGGAAATTGGAACCTTTAATTATCAAGAAGTGTAGCTACAATATAGTCCAGAAATTAAGCAATTCCATTTTCTGTAATTTAATAAATTTTAGGAATTGTTTTTATATCACCTTTAGAAAGTGACTTAAGTAGAAAGGTATTCTAAAATGAAAAGTAAATTGCATGATTATCTTATTACAGCGTTTTGAACTTCGAGATTCAAGACACTCTACGCTTCCTAAAGAGGTTGTGAGAGTGGAAAGGATCACTGAAAACCAGGTTTCCCAAGCCCTCGTGACTATCCAGTTTGCAGACAAAGAGGTGACCATTAAGGTAATAAATAAGAGTTTCCATTTTTCTAAACTATGCCAGTTTTTATGTACTAAGCTGGATAGATTCCTTGTAAGTATTACTTGATTTTAAGATGTCACAAATATATTTCTGTATATTGAAATATCAAGAATAATATATGTTTGTGAAATGGAAGGGTTCAAGGGAAACATAGGCATAGCTTATGATCAAAAGCCAGAGTTATGGGGCTGGAAGGACAGTATAGGAGGAAAAAGCTTTGCCTTGTGTGCAGCCAATCCTGGTTCAAATTCTTGGCAGTACATATGGTTACTCCTGAGCACAGAGCTAGGAATAGTGCCTTAGCAATGCTGGGTATGGCCCCCAAATGAAACAAATGGGGGGGAGGGGGGGGGAAAAGCCCACTGTCGTGGGCCAGGGAGATGATTCAAAGTATGTGTCTGACATGCTTGAATTCCCTACCTAGTTTATATTCGGCATCATGTGGCCCCTTTACTTCAGCTTCACTGGATGTATCTGTGTTGGCCTCTGAGTTCCACCAGGCCAAAGTACTGAACTGTCTGACCACTATAACTAGGACAAGTTTCACGGGGAGTGGCTTCAGGCTCCTTTGAACACAGCTTGGAAGTCTTTTACCCCCACCAAAACCCAAAAGAACCAAAGTTGAACTTTGAGAAAAATGAAAACAAGTGATGATTAATGAAAGCATTTTGTACTCAGAGTCCTGGGTAAAAAAATAGTGTTTTCAAACATATTTTGGCAGCTGGTGAACACGCTCTTTTCAAATAAAGTTCTTTTCAACTACGTGAAACAATTAAAAGAGGAGCTATACTTTCTAGTTGAACAGTTTTTAGAGGAGGGGAATACAGTTTGGTCGTGGAGTTTCATCTGCTTCCATAGAGAAATATTTTTCGTTTAACCCTTTCTTTGAGTTCTCAAGAACACCAGGAAATTATCAGAAACTCACTCGAAAACACAGTTTGAAAAATGTTGATTTACAGAAATTATAAAGAAATGTAAGAAAAAATAAATGTCTACTTTCTTTCAAATGTCTACTTTCATGATAACTTTTCTGTTTTTTGTTATTATTAATATTAATTCATGTTGCTATATTAATTTATCAAATTAAACATTAATTATGTATGCCAAGGGCAGGCTCTGTATTAATATAAAGGTTTATTGGCCACCTACCGTATATGAGTCATATACCACTTAAGATTCCCAGTAACTCTGGAGGTAAGTTTTGTTAGATTCATTTTACATTTTAGAACAGTGAGATGTAGAAAGGGTCACCAGTTCACCTGTCATCACTAGTTAATAAATGGCACATCTGGGTACTTATAAGCAAGCTTTCAGAATTTGCCTCCCTAATACTTTGAACTTTCTCATTTTTGCTCCCTTCTACTTAGTCCTCTGTGTTCTCACCAGGATGGTTTTTCTTGAATGCGAATCTAACACTCACTTCCTAATTCACAGTATGATCAAGACCCCTGTACTCCGTAGAGCAAAGAAATCCTCCTAATAATGTTCCCATTGGATTGACTAATATGGAAGAGATAACGAGAGAAGTAGAATGGGAGGAGAAATTTTAGTCGTGGCTTCTGAGTGCTAACTTAAAATAAGGGGAAGAAGATTTGTGGACATGGATTTTAAAAATTCAGAAATCAGTAGTTCTTAGTGACTTTGTAGAGTTCCTGTCGACTGGTTTTAATTCTGTACTTACAAAAAAATTTGAAAAAATAGTTTCATTCTTAAGTCATTATAAGTAGTATGAAAATGACATAGTTCTTGAAAATATCTGATATCATGGGCCTTTAATTTAAAAGGGATTGGGGCCAGAAGGATAGTATAGTGAATGTGCTTGACCTGGGTTTTATCCCCAGCACCCCATATGGTCCCCTGAGCCTGTCAGGAGTGATCCCGAGGACAGCTGGGTCTGGTCCAAAAATAAACAAACTTTTTAATGAGATAATTGATTTTTTAAAAAATTTTATTTGATTTTTATAAAGTTGTTCACAATAGTTCTTTATAGATAATATTCAAAAACCAATCTACCACCATGCACCTTCCCACCACCATAAGAGGAAAGTATGTGAAGATTGTTGTATTTCATCCTGGAGCCATTTAAGCCCTTGTATAAGAGATTACAGGCATGTATGTTAAAACAAATACGTGCTACTTTTGGTACAGCAGAGTACCAACTAGAGTATAAGAGGTCATGCGGCTGTGAATGTGACTGCATGTTTCAGGAAGTTCTGTGATGCTCTCTTCTGGGAGCTTTCTTTTATAGTCTCTGGATCCTGGCCGTTGATGAGATTATATGGCACTGGAGGCAGTTTGTTGGTGTGACTGCCAAGCTACTGGAAAACTGGGGAACAGGGGGGAGGAGGCCCAGACCCATTCTGAGCGAGCTTGCAGATCTCCATCACGGGTCTTGCATACCTGGGTTTTTCTGTAGGTTTCCTCATAGGTAAGTCTTGTCCAAGTCTGTGGAGAGTGGCCTTGACCATGGCTGTGCAATTGAGTTCTGGAGGTGTTCAGATTCGGGGGTTCTGCTGGGGCAGGGAGGGAGACTCAATCTGCCCTCTCTGAGTTCTGAGTTCCCCCGATGAATACAGCCTGGCGTGGAGTTAGGACATTCTGGGATGATAGATTTTTAAGGTTTGGTAATGAACATCATGTATGTGTGAATAAGAAAACAGTTGCAGGGGCTGGAGCAATAGCACAGCGGGTAGGGCGTTTGCCTTGCACGTGGCCGACCCGGGTTCAATTCCCAGCATCCCATATGGTCCCCTGAGCACTGCCAGGAGTGATTCCTGAGTGCAAAGCCAGGAGTAACCCCTGAGCATCGCTGGGTGTGATCCCCCAAAAAAGCAAAAAAAAACAAACAAAAAAAAAGAAAACAGTTGTAACTCATGAAATAAAATCAAGTATATCATTGAGTTTTAAAAAGGACTAGAAATTAGTTGGGGCTTTTAAGTACATGTGCTTTCATCTACTAAATATTTTAAGAAAAAGCAGGTTTATACCTACCTGGCAGGGGAAACACCAGGCTTACGTAGTTGGTTTTCCTAGGGCGAGGCTTATGCATTGCGCTTTGGATGTGAACCCCCTGCGATTTTGCCAAATGTGGGAAACTTGACTGCATAATTTGTGGTAGTGGGGGACTGTGCTCAGATTCTCCTCTCAAAAGAAAAGCAAAGAAAAGAAAAGAGAAAAGAAAAGGAAAGAAAAAAATATATGCTTATTACCCCTTCTTAATTTTAGGTGCCAGCGGGGACCAGACCAGTGAATCAGCCTTGTGCATCTGACCATTTTGTACAGACCTTAAGCCATAAGCAGCTGCTCGCTGAAATGATGCAGTCTCACATGGTTAAGGACATATGTTTGATAGGAGGAAAGGTAAGAATGACAGCCTCACAGCATACTTTTGTTTCTGACTTTTACTGTTTTGGCTTATTCTTATTTGGCTTATTCTTGAATGACTGTGTTTCTGTTTGTAGGGCTGTGGAAAAACAGTTATCACTAAGAACTTTGCAGATACTTTAGGATATAACATAGAACCCATCATGCTCTATCAGGTATGGTATTCATTTTTTGCTCTTGAACTGAAAACATGTTTGGCCTGTCAGAAGAATTTATGGATATTTTCCCTAAGTTGTGAACTCTTAATTTTGACTTAGATTTGTTGTTGTTTATTTGTTTGCTTGTTTTTGGGCCTGGCTGTGCTCAGGGCTTAGTCTTGGCTCTGCACTCAGCAGTTGCTCCTGGAGGGCTCAGGGGTGCCAGGGATTGAACCTTGGTCAGACAAGTGCAAGGCAAATGCCCTACTCACTCTACTATCACCCAGGTCTTCTTGACTGAGATTTTTAAGGAGCTTAATATTGTTGTTGATTGCTGGAAGCAATAAAATTGGAGTGTAGTTATGATTACTTGGAACTTATGAAAGTATGTGCTAGATGAAAGTGTGTACTTATCATATATACGTCACTGTCACTGTCCTCCTGTTGTTCATCGATTTGCTCGAGTGGGCCCAGTAACGTCTCCATTGTGGTAATTGTTACTGTGTTTGGCATATCGAATACGTCATAGGTAGCTCGCCAGGCTTTGCCGTGCAGGCAAGATACTCTTGGTAGCTTGCTGGGCTCTCTGAGAGGGGTGGAGTTATCAAACTCGGGTCGGCCATGTTGGCCATTTACAAGGCAAACGCCCTACCCACTATGCTATCGCTCCAACCCATCATATATACATACCATATGTATAGTACACCATGATGGATTTTTTTTTAGATTCATTTTATATGCACACATAGGGTACATTTATTTACTTTTGTTTTCACAAGTGATGTTCAGAAGGCTTAAGACCCCTTCCAGGAATTCTTGGCCACTTTTGCCAAGTGCAAGGGCCAAGTTCAAGTTCAGTGCAAGGGCTCAAGGTGTGGTGCTGCACAGTCCTTGATAAATTACCTGGGTCACCTGGTGCTATACAGGGACCTCCAAGGCTTCACTGAATGATGCTTGGGGGCCCCTATGGTGAACAGGTCTTAGCCCCTCTACTACCAGCTTCACAAGTCCATTTCATAGTAATTTGGACTGCCAAACAAAAACCAGGAGTTGGATACAGATAGGCGTATATAGAATAGTGTTTTGTCATGGTAAAATATAGGTAACAAAATTTGCCATTTTAACAACATTTAAGATTTAACCAATGTTTAGCAGTGTCACTAGCACAAAGTACATTCACACTGTTCTATGTCCATCAATATAGTCTATTTCTTCTGTCTGTCAACACAGTCTATTTAAAATCATCCCTAACTGATGCTATGCCTGATACATAATAAATCCCTGTTCCTCCCTCTCCAGATCCTGATAAACCTCTATTGTCCCCTGTGTTCCAGTGAATTTTTCTATTCTAGATACTTCCTACTATGTAGAAATGTTCAACTTTGTTCCTTTCATATCTAGTGCTTACTTTACTTAGCATGAGGCTGTGGTATCTCCATTCTTTAGTATATATCAGAATTTCATTTTTTTTAATGACTGACTAATGTTCTGTTTCATTATATGCCACTGTCACTGTCACTGTCCTCCCATTGTTCATTGATTTGCTTGAGCAGGCCCAGTAACGTTTCCATTGGAGACTTAGTTGTTACTGTGTTTGGCATATCGAATACGTCACGGGGAGCTTGCCAGGCTCTGCCATGCGAGCGAGATACTCTCGGTAGCTTGCCTGGCTCTCCGAGAGGGGCGGAGGAATCGAACTTGGGTCAGCCATGTTGGCTGCATGCAAGGCAAACGCCCTACCGCTGTGCTATCGCTCCAGCCCCTTATTATATGCCATGTTTTCTTTATTCATATGTTGATGAATATTTATGTTGTCTTTACCTTTTTGCTGTTGTGAATAATGTAGCTATGAATATTGCTGCACACGTGTCTACATTCTAATGCAAGTTCCCTGGTTTTAATAAGAACATGCAGAGAAGTAGTATTACCAAACCATACTCTAACTCTTTAATTTTTTAAGTAGGTAGCAAGCCATTTTTTTATATAACTGAACCATTTTACATACCCACCAGCAGCTAAAGAGTGTTCTAATTCCTCCATATTTTCATCAGCACTTGTTATTTAACTGGAGTTTCTTTTTCTTTTCTTTTTCCTTTTCTTTTGTTTTGGGGGGGAGGGAGGGGCCACAACTGGTGGTGCTCTGGGCTTACTCCTGGCTCTGTGTTCAAAGATCACTTCTGGCAGGGATGAGAGAACCATGTGGGGTACAGAGAATTGAACCTGAGTTGACCCTGTGTGAGACAAGAATTCTCTCTTCAGCCTATCTGGAGTTTCTTTTTTTTTATAATAATCATCCTAATGGGGATGAAGTAGTAACTCATTGATTTGATTTGCATCTCCCTAATAACTAATAATGTTGAGATCATCTCTTCATATGATTCTTGCACATATTAAAAACTTATTTGGAGTAATGCCAGAAAAAAAGCTTCTGCCTTCATATACTTTAAATGTATATTTGCTCAGTTGTAAGAGTTTTTTCTTGATCTTAGTCATTCCACAATATGTGATTTGCAAATGTTATCTCCCATTCCATGGGTTGTTGTCACTTTTTTGATATCATCCTTTACGTATTCAGTTTTAAATTTATTTTGCCTTACTTTTCTTGGTTTCTGGGCCACACCTAGTTGTTTTCAGGGCTTAATCCTGGCTCTGTGTTCAGGGATTACTCCTGGCAGTACTTGAGGAACCATATGGGATGCCAGGGATTGAACTCAGGTCAACTGCATGAAAAGCAATTGCCTTACCTTGGAAGTTGTACAGACTTGTCTGCATGGTTAAATTTGTTCTTAAGTATTTTCTACAAATTTTGGTGGGCATGCACATACTTATTTTGATTAAAAAAACCAAACATGTATCACATCTTCATAATCTACTTATTTATCATAGACACCTAGGTTGATGGTTGATTCTATATCCTAGCCATTGTCCTTGCATCCCTGGGATGAAGCCTATTTGATTGCTGTGTGTGTCTTTTTTTAAAAAATATAATGTTATCTATCTATATCCCAAAACATTTATTTCACCTCTGTGTGTGTGTTGTGGAGGGGGTGGGAGGAGAAGACTCCCTATCAGTGCTCAGAATTCCCAGGGACTCTTTGGTAGTGCTCTGCTAACTGGGTCAGATAGTTCATGTGAGGATCCAATGATGTGGAGCTGCTTGTGTCCAGCAATGCCAGGTTCAACTAATGATGTGAAGATGACTCTTCGCATTTCACTAACCTAACCTGTTCACTGGCAGCTTTCTAATTTCTCCGGAAAACACTTTTCTACCAAATAACGGAGGGAAAAGTCCAAATCATCAGTATCTTTGTTAAACAATTAAGTTTATATTCCACTTAGAGGCCAAGGATAAATAAAAGTATAATTTTCCTTCTGTGGTGCCTTTATCTTGAAATCTTGGGCCTAAAATTTTGTTGGGATGTTTCTTTTCTTTTTTTATTCCACTTAAGTTTATTGTAGTATTACTTCAAAACTGTATACGTGGTAATTTTCTTTGCATGAAAATAAGAACTCATCATAATGAAATATGCTAATAATTTATGCATTGTCAGTTTTGCCATATGTACTATTTCAGCAGTAGATAACTGTAGTCATTTTATGCTAATTAAATACATTTTAAATACATTTTATTTGAGGTAATGCTTGTTCACAATGTTATATATGTATTCTGTGCTTATGGTGGTTTTTGGTGGACCAGTCCTAGCTTTGTTTAGGAGTCACACCTAAACAAAGCCACACCTGGCAGTTTTCAGGGCTTGTTTCTTGCTCTGCACTCCGGGATCACTTGTCTTAATACTTAGGGACTCATTTGTGGTTCTGATGTGTTGAGGATTGAACCAGGGAACCAACTGCTAGGCAAGTGCCTAGACCTCCTTAGCGTCTTTTCTGCTGTTAGGGTGGTTTTTACACCATATTTGTAGCTATCTTAACCATATGCGTAACCTATGAAAATTGTAGTCACCTCATTCTGTGGTCTATTAAACTAAGCAAGAGTATGTTATATTCATTGATTCATACCTCAGATTCCCTGGAAAATGACCTAAGGTATACTGCCATTGAAATTTTCTCTTTATTTAATATATGAAAGAATCAGGAACTGAAAAGAGATTTTCTTATATATTTTGGTGATTAGCCAAAGCTCACTAAATATTTAATTTCCATTTATTTTTCTGTTCAGTTTGTAGACAAGTAGAGAAATGCCATTAAAGTTGGTGGCAGGCCATTCGATCTCTTTCTGAGATATTAAGTAAGTGCTTTGGAATAGGTCATTTAGTCAACAATATTAATGTCTGAAAAACAGAGGGCATGTTATTTGAGAGGCATGTGCCTTTTTCATAATATTTTAGCCTTCCTTTTCATCTCTACTGTTACCTTGTGGGGGCAGGAGCAATAGTACAGCAGGTAGGGGGGTTGCCTTGCAAGTGGCAAACCTACATTGGATTCCTCCTCTTGGAGAGCCCAGCAAGCTACCAAGAGTATCCTGCTCACATAGCAGAGCCTGGCAAACTCCCCGTGGCATATTCGATATGCCAAAAACAGTAACAACAAGTCTCACAATGGAGACGTTACTGGCGCCCACTCAAGCAAATCGATGAAAAACAGGAGGACAGTGCTACAGTGCTA